TGCAGGCATCCTCTAGCTATCAGAAATCCTGAAAAAAAAAAATCAACCAGCCAAATCGCGCAATTTATCATTATGGAGCGGAGCGTACTTCCGATGTTTTTCTTTGTTTCGATTTTTTTTTTTGGTGGTGATTTACGCGAAAATAAAAACTATTACATTTCAATGAGACGTCTCGACGACAGACAGCCTGATTCCTCTATTCTACGGTTCCGGTGTCTTCCGTTTGTTGGAAAGTGACATATGGAAAGGAAAAGTGATGACACATTTTTTGCAGCTCGGAAAGGGTTGATTTTTTTTCCGATGTCTAACACTCGTTCCGTCGGTTGAAGCGTCGCCGGGGTTTACGGAATGGAACAACTTCCTTTTTCAATCAATGTTCGGTGTGAAGCCAAACGGCTCCTGCGAGCGGGGGGTTGTCAAATTCGATTTCGTTTTTGGGTCAAATGGAAAAGGTTGACGTAGTACTGTTTTGTTGAAGAAATAGGAAATCATTGAATTTTGACAAATATCCAAGCACGGCTGTGACTAGCTTTTGTTAGTGGCGGATCAAAATGGATCATCATGGGAATTTTATGAAACTGGTTCGGAATGACCGCTGGGAATAGCTTCATTGGAGATCGGGATGACCACTGGACACTGGAAAACGAAGGCAGCAACGATGAACTGGAACTGTTCGGTAATTGCTAGTTTGAATGGCTCGAGAAATTTAAGATTGCTTTTTGTCGAAGACTATTAAGGTTCAATTTACTTTGATGCTCTTTGGAAAATTTCAAAAGCAGTTTTTTCCGACGCATTATTTCAGATTGTAAAAAGCTCGCACTATTCGATTCCTGTTGATATTTTACACAAAATGACGCGAGCTTTTTGCAATCTAAAATAAGACGTCGAAAAAAACTGCTTTTAAAATTTTCCAAAAAGCATCAAAGTAAATTGAACCTTAAGATGTGATCAATGTTCAAGCTTAGTGTTTCAATTTGAGGAAACTAAGCCAGTTAATCTGAATCCATATATTTGTTAGACAACTTTTATGACAAAAATCATATTTTATCGGAAATTTAAAAAAACAATAATCAATTATTCAAATATAACGCAACGTAGAGAAATGGATTTTTTATAGGGGCTGATCTAAGTAAAGTTTTGAGAGGTTTCGTAGACAATCGTCTATACATTTCACGGTTAGTCGATCTTTCAGAAAGAAAGTTCCATCATAATCTCAAAACTGTAAAAAGATGTCTGAATATTGGTCATAAATCACCCAATAGGACCAATACAGGTTCGATCACCCTTCGCCTATATCCTTAGGGTATTTTACAAACGACAACGATAACGACGTTCCGTTACATAACGCTGCATATTTATACTAGTGCAACAAATTTTCCATTTCGGGCAAATTTCCCCCGGGAAAATGGTTTCACGCCAACGACGACAATGACGACGATGACGACGACCGCAGAAGCAAACCATCACCGGAAGTACCGTTTTACCTTATGGCACAGTGTACTAGTCCAAATAAGGTGGGCTGGGTTTTTGGTTTATGATTCCAACGGTGAACGCTATTTGGATTTAACGAGCGGAATTGCTGTGTGCGGGGGGACGGGGGGGGGGGGATGGGTATGTCGCGTTATTCGGTTAACATGCAAGGAGTATCGTATGTCACACAGTAAGTCCTATTACTTTCCAGCGCAAGGTGGCATGTTTGGGAAAACTAATATTCTTGTTAGAAATACAAACGGGACGGTTGAACTAATCGAAGAATGAATTTCTCCTAAAAAGTTGTTGAACTACAAAGTGACGTAAATTCCTAAAATAAATTGGTCGGAAATTTTTAGATTCTTATACAGATCGGTATGAGAAATAATCAAAATTTGAAATGTATATACAAAATGACCCGAACATTTAACTCGATATGCTGCTTGCTTCTCTAAAACGAACACTAGCTACTATTTTAAGCTTCATATTGTCAGTAAACCGTCAGTTGTGTTGTGCCCCGTGCTTTCATAGATCCCACACAGCAAAAACATTGTAAATTTACATATTGCACATTGATGTATTTTGTGGGCTTATTTGAAACCAACAAATTAGTTTAAAATTAAAGTATTTAATAATACATTAATTTGCATTGAATTTTACATGCTAGCAAAAAGTTCAATTGAAATTGATTTAATATTCAACGATCAACGAGATAAATTTACATGATCGCGTAAAGTCTGGTTCACTTAGAATCCGGACACTTTATTTATTCTATAGCAGCGCCATAGTGGTTGAATTTGGAATGTTTTGACAGCGATTGGTTTTAAAAGTACAGTACAGTCTCAATACGTGCAGTATTGAAAAAGTTGCACTAGATGGAAGACGAGAAAAAAAATTGATCCTGCACACCCACGCCAAAAAACCCGACGCGAAAAAGTTGAAAATTGCCGTTTCTACCGTGGGAGATGTTTTCAAGCGGTTCCGTGATCGCAAGAGTGTGGCCCGGAAGGTTCAAAGCAAACGTCGAGCTGGAACTTTGGATCGGTAGCTGAATTGGAAGGTGTTGAGGTCGATCAAGAGATACCCAGGACTCTCGTCAAAAAATACGGCTGGCATAGTATCGACCAGAGGATCCGTCTGCGAGCAGGTTACCGTTCATTCTGTGCCTCCAAGCAATCAAATAGGTCGATGAAGCAGAATCTAGTGACCAGAACACGCGTTCATTAACAAAACTTTTATCTGGCCACAGCACGGGATGATGTACCCAGCAAATTAAGTTTGTTTTTGCCGAGAAATTCACCTGGAAACTGATGATCTGGCGAGGAATTTAGCAGCTCCGCAAAACCAAGCATTTTATCACCAACAAAACGGTGTGCAGTAGAGTTTTTCAAGATAGGTCAATCCTGCGATTTCAAACGCTACCCCCTGGAATGGTTGTTTGGGGGGGGGGGGTGGGGTGTTAGAAACAGCCTGCCAAAATTGGAAGTAATTTGGTTCACGGGAACCCCTCGCTCAAACGGCTTGAAGTTTGTATGGGGAAAATCGATAAAAATGTATGGGGAAGCGAGCCACTTCACATTCGTGGCTCTAGATGGCGCTGTAGTGGGTCAATTATCTTCGTGTACAAAATGTAGAACCTTTGGAGTAAAGATTGTCCCAATTGCATCACGGATAAAATGCTGTCGAAAATTACCTACCCAGACAACCAGAAGTCGTATAACAATGTACAGACAGTATCGTAAACTGCTACAGTTTAAGTCAAAATCGCATATTAGAATGGCATACCTCGCATTATGTTTAAGTTAAATCGTATAGAATGCAAATTTCCGACTTATATGCGATGACTCATTTTTCCGTCGTACTGTATCACAAATTAAATCGGATTACATCGTAAGACTTTTCAAAATGGATTTGTTATTACAGATCAAATTGCATATGATGTTAAATCAACTCGTTTAAAATTAAACGAAAATATGCACGTATATGGCCTCCACTTTTGTACGTATAAGCCATTTCTTTGCATTCTATACGACTTGTTTGTTTGTATATATGTTTGTATATCACGAAAACAACTTTGAATATACGTGCATTCTGGTTGTCTGGGTAGTTGACCTATCCTTTTCAAACTTTCAGACAACACATATAACCCATTAGTAAGCTTTTGGCATATTTATTTCATTCAACTTCAATACCATAACCGTACGTTCACACCTTATGCTTAACTCCATTCAACATCTAGGCTGCCCCTTCTTCTGTACAGAAACCCACTTTTTCTTCATGTCTTCCTCAGATTTGACCTCCTTGGGATGCTTCCGTAGTGCCTGCTTCATAATGGCCCAGTATTTTTCGATGAGCCTTAGTTCCGGTGCGTTGGGGGGGGCATGTCCTTGGGTACGAAAGTCATCTCGTTGGCTTCGTACCACTCCAGGACAACATTTCAATAGTGGCACGAAGATCGTAGAGGAAGCAGACGTTTCTGTAGACACTCCTTGAGGTATATATCCCCTTTTACAGTCCCGGTAGTCACGAACGGCGCACTCCGTTTGCCACATGAGTAGATCGCTTGCCAAATCATGTATTTCTTGGCAAACTTTGAAAGTATCTGCTTCCTTACTTCCTCCGGAACCTCAAACTTGTGCTGGGCAATCCAGAACAGCAGCCCCGAAAGCTGCCGGAAGTCCTCCTTGACGTAAGTCTCATCATCCATGATGAGACAATGAGGCTTCGTCAGCACCTGGGTGTACAGTTTCAGGGCCCGTGACTTTCCTACTGTATTTTGCCGTTCATCACGATTTGGAGCATTTTGTACGTATGCAGTCCCTCCCGGTCCTTGGCTCTTTGAACGAAAGACTTGGACAGATTCAACTTTTTGGCCACATCCCTGACCCAAGCATTGGGATTTCGCTTAAACGCTTTCACGACACGCTTGTGATCCTGATCACAACCGACCGCATTTCTCCTTCTGTTAGATGCTCAGAGTTTCGTAGTAACGTTTAATCACACGATTCCGAGTTATTTTCCGATGTCCTGATGAGAGAGTTGAGGATTATCCAGGTGCTTGCGCAAAATCAATTCGCGACGTTGCTTTTCGGGTTTTTTCCAACTTTCCAAAAACTGACAGCGATAAAAATACAGTGTAAACAATACACTCTAAACTACTTCTACCCAAATTTTCAAGAGAAAATACCCAATGGGAAATTTTCTGCAGCGTTTATTTTTTTGTGATACAATTTGATGTGGGATACTTTTTATTGAGAACATCTTGGCTCAAGGCTGCACGCAGAAAAATTTATCGTTGAAACAAAAATATTTGGTTTGACAAGTATGTGAACAAAAATAAATATGTTTATTTTAAACATGCTTCTTATGTTTGAAAGAAACATACCTAATTTTAAATTATATTAGCAGGATAAAGCAAAAAAATGGATTGCAAAGAGATGAAAAAACGATCTGCAGACAAGGCATCTAAGTTCCTACTCTTTTTCGGGTGCGATTATGGGTAAGCTGTGGATGTTGGGTCCTGGTCCGAGATGCGGGGACCCGTCGGGGTGAGTGTCCGGAAGTTTCAGTTCAGTAAAACCAGTGAAACTTTGTGAAATCAGCGTCGTTTTGTCGTTTCTAACGCTGGTCCTCATGCCGGCCTCCTTCTACGTTCGGTGTTCAAGGAGGGGGGCTGGAGGATCCGGAATAGATTCAAAATCTATTTCGGATTTTCGTTTTTCTTTCGACGTCAGTTGTGGAGGAGGATGATACAGGATCGGCATCAGAAACGACAGAGTGACGTTGATACCGCTTGTGTGCTAAAAGTTCACCCAAAGTTACAAACTTTTTTCAAAATTTACTCTGAAGAATCGTGACTGATTTTCTCAGAATTGGGTTGGCCAAATTTTGAAATAAAAGTAGTAGTAGAACACTTATGCTATACCATTCATACCAATCAAATAACCTTTGGAGATCGAAAATTGAACGTAAAATGAGAGATCATTGAACAAAACATATTTGCATGGTTTTTTAGAGGTTTCCTTAAACTTATGGTCGGTAGTGTAAATATAATGTCTCATGTCCAAACATCGATTTTCGGTCTATTGATTCAATACTTTAGTATTATATTTTCAAAACATACAATGATGCATTATGTCATTTCATGGCAATTAAAACAAAAAGTGTGTGTATAGGACCCAATAATCTAGGTTGTTTGTATTTTGTAATACATCTTTATTTTTTATTATATTTTTCATTTTACTACATATTTTATATACATCATATATTACATGATTATATATAAATTCATAATGTGAATTACAATAAATGCTGAGACGGGAGGGAGCATCAGGGCATCATTGAAGTTGTAACTGGACAATGAAGTGGAGTGCTAACCGGAGTCTAGGAGGGAATGTGTACTGTCATTTTAGATAGTTACTGTTATAAACATAATAAAAGACCAGATATTACGGTCAATAGAGATCTCCAAGCGCAATCTCACGAACACTAAAATCCAACATCCATATATAAAAATGAAGAAGAAGAAGAGCCAAAAAGGTATCGTGATATCACAACTACTTAAAAAGGTAGCGCGCGGTCTCACGCACACTTTTGTGCATCTGGAGAACTCTATAACTTCCTTTATTAAACTTCACTTCACAAAGACCTAAAGGATAATGTCGGACTGTTCTTTCTCTCTGCTACTCTGCCCCTGCAAGTTCACACATACAAGTGCACAAGCGCTCATCTCTACGAGGGGTGCATCAATATTGCAACAGTTACATTTCACTTCAACTGTTGCAATGAATTTGACGCGCTCTTCTTAAACAAGCCATCCCGTGGAAAGCTTAACATGTATTGCGAATTTCGTTATTCGTTTTGTTGGATCATACACACTTAATTCAGATCACCGAAGTCGGTAGGAATTTACCGGGTTTTTGAACAGCAGAACAAGTCGGTAAAATTTTCAAATGACCGTTACACGTGAGAAATCAAGAAAATTTATAAATTTTATTTTTCATCAATAAATGGGGTAAACCGAACAAATTCTGTACAAGTTCCGAATAAATTTGCTAATAATTGGATTTTTCACTGATTTTTAAACTTTTACCGAACAGTTCTGTAGTTCAAAATTTACCGAACGATGGCGGCCTGGATTAGTGTGTATTGTTGGAAGGAGATTCTCTTATTCCCGCGGGTTTCACGTAAGTGTCTCTGCTTACGGGCCCGTCCAATCCCTTTTGGCCCTTCATACAGCAGTATGTTGAATTCAGAATGATGATGAAATTGGATCTTGCTGTTGAGTGGAGCCGCATGCAGGGCAAGACCCACACACTTAAACAGAGACCCTGAGTTCGGTAAAAAAAATTACCGTCTTAGATCGGTAATGCTAAAAATTACAGATGTTTCGGTATTTTCTCGCTTTATTGCTGAAAACTGTAAATGAAATGACCGAATTTCGGTAATTTCATTTTAATTTACCGAAAACGGTTAACATTTTTACCGGTAGGTCTGTAAATCAGCCTCATCACTGACTTCGGTGAAATATTTTACTGAAGTTTCGGTAAACAAAGCGTTCCATTACTGAGTTCGGTAATGGTCTAGGTAAACGTCAAATCCACCATATTGTTATTTTCGATCGACTTTAAAAGCGTTCGTGCTTGTGAAAAATAAAAAGGTGAAATTATGGAGTCTGTTATTCAACACCAAAATGAGTGAATCGTAGATATTTTCCGTTAATAATTAATTTTCGTTATCTAAATAAATACCGATTACAGATGGCCGATGTTGTTGCTTGTTTTTTTTTTTCTTTCGGTCCAAGTTCCATTCCCGTTGGCGACGATCTGAAAACAGCATTTGGAATATTCTTCCAAAGCTTCCTTGTTTTCAGTGTAGCGCCGAATCATTCCGACAAAAACTTGGTTTTGTTCATTGGTGGTGCAATTTGCAACACTAACTAATTGATCACGACAACAGCTAAATTTTTGCATGGGTTGCAGTGACCGCCACCTTGAAACAATATTAAAGAAAATTACAGTTGAGTCGGTTACCTTTTTAAAAAATTACAAATCTCTCGGTAATTTTCGATTTGCATGTCGTCCTCAAAATTACAGTTCTCCGGTAAAGTCGACTACAAATCAAGCAATGCACATCGGTAAACGTTACCAATCGTTCGGTAAATTTGACAGCTAATTTTGCTGATCGAGTTTACAGATTTTTCGGTAATGTTCTCGATTACCGAAAACATTACCGACCGTTCAGCTGTTGAGAATTCGGTAAATGAATTACCGAAGTCGGTGATTTTTTCTAAGTGTGCAAGCTAGGATGGTGGCTACTTACATACATACATACATCAGCTGGTCATTGGCTCCGAGTGGTCACCAGATGACCCGCCGAAAGATTTGGAACATCCATCGAATTAATTACTGCGTAAATTTGATCTAAGTAGGCCTTGATTTTTTTCTGCAACTATATGGAATGAAGAAAAATTGTGATTTTTGACATATAAGCTGATCATTGGCTTCCATGGCTTCTACAACTTAGAAAGCACGCAGCCATTCTCTCACGCTTCATGTCAAGGTGCTAGTGTATTGGCGTTGACGGCACCGTCGAAAATTTTCTCTTCCAGCAAATATAGACAGTTTCTTATCGGAATTTTCCGTGGAGTGAAACGATAGTACAAAGTCCACCATGTTTCACACACAGTCTGACATTTGCTTATGGATTTTCTCATAGGAGTAAAGAGCTACAGAGTCGCCGTCAACGCCAATTCAGTCATGCAGCTAGCTCTTTGCGATGCTGGTGTGCTTGAGAAATTTGTGTTTAAAGCCATTTCTTACGTTTGGTTGTTCCACCTATTTCAATTGTTGGTATTTTTTTTTTCCTTGATTTGTTTACCGTCGATCTTGTTTTCCGTGCTGAGCACCAATGCTACCGACGCCAGGAAGGCAGCTCCCACACCTGGACCCTACATATCGACCCATCAAACTCATGAACCGGGGACCAACGGCTTTACTTCCCTTCCGAAGGAAGGCGTGATCAGGGATGTTAGGCCTCAAAACATCCCGGCGACGCCGACTGGGATTGAACCCAGGCCTGCTGGGGTGAGAGGTAATCACGCTTACCACTACACCACCGGCGCCGCTAATTGTTGGTCTAAGTAATCTCATTGCTGCTTTAGGATCTGCCGTCGAGGTTGGAAGCCATCTTCGAATAGCTACTTCTATCTTGTTCAACAAAGCCAGTTCAATTAAAAAAAAAACTACAAGGGACAGCCCTTAGGGGATGTATGCAATGGTGACGTAGGACTACGTGGTTTTATATAATAATTCTTATTTGTTAACTGCAGCAGGAGCTTGTGTTTTGTGTAGGAATAGGAATTTGAGCGGGATTCTCTCTGTTTATACTCTTTAATATGACGCGCTTGACATAGATGACCCACAGCGGCTCACGAAGAGCTACTGATTCCGATCAATATTGGTGCAATTGCTTCCTCCTTCTATGGATGCTCATGTGGGCAGCAGCTCGCTGCTTGCAGGCAGGCTTTCGTTGTCTACTGGAGAACAATGTTCAACGCCACGCGCCGAAAGCTCTGCTGCTGCTGCTGCTGATGCCGACGACCGGACACCACCACACACGGTGATTGGTACTGAATCCGATCAGCGGTTCAAGGCAGCCTTGATAGCTAGCTGCTTGCGTTGAGCCTTGCGTTGTGTACTGGAGAACACCACCACTGATTGAATAAACACCGTTTGGAGAGACCGGATGGTATTCAACTTTGAAATCTGTGTTAGGGAAATCGCTTTTCGCAGGCAATCGGTGATAATTTTAATTATCATCGCAACAGTTGCACATTCGTGCAATTTTCAACAATGACATTTTGATAAATGATCAAGTCTTAAACTTAACGGATGGGCAGCTGAGTTATTAACGTTCAAATTCTTTCATAATTTTGTGTTATGTTCCATTTTCGGTTTTCACAAAGTGTACCCCCATATAGAAATCACAGACGTAGTCCTACGACAAAACATATCCAGTACATCCCAGGACGATTATGCTATCCAGGGGAGATAAAAATCTCGGGTGATTAGCAGTCGTGATTAACTTTGATCATGCCGATGTGTTACACGTTGCTGGGTGAAGGATGCAACAAGAAATTTCTAAAGCAGGTGGATGTTGTAACATCGTGTAAGAAGATTATTTCGGAGATGCTGTACTTCTGATTGATTATCAAGGATCACGCTTCTCATTGTCAGCATAATCTGAGGAATCGAGCATCAGACTTGTTAGTGTTTTCCGTGGACTTGAGGGCGAGTATTTTGGACTGGTCGGCACATCGCTGGGTCTCGTTGAAGAGTACGCAGGAGAGGCGTTACCTGACAATACAGGACTGTTCTATTAATAAGAGGGAGATGCTCTATAAATGACCTAGATGCATCTTCTGCACCATCAAAGTCCCGTCATTTACCGTCATTTATAGAGCATCTCCGTCTTATTAATCAAACAGGCTTGCATTTGATAGGTGGTGCCTCTCTTGCGTACTCTTCAACGAGTCCCAGCGATTTGC